AGTAAATGCAGAATCGCTGGCTCAGTTCCCAAACGACTGAATCAGAATCTGCATTTTAAGTTCTTCAGTGAATCAAATGCACATGCAAGTGTGAGAAACAACTATTGTCAGGGAAAAGCTTTGGAGTTGGACAGATCTGGGTTCAAATCCCAATTCTGCCTACCTTGAGCAGTCCTGAGCCTCAATTTTCTCACCTGAAAAAGGAGGTACTACTACCTACTGCAGAAGGTTACTGTGGAGATCCAAGAGTCAGTGTATGAGAAGAAACTAGCATGAGGTCTGGTTTATGTTGGCTAATCATTCATTCATTCAACGAATCATTACTGATTGCCTGTTGTATTCCAAAACACCCTTCCTGTCTTGTGTTTCAAACCCCCTCTTTATAATTTATTTTAATGAATTCTAATTTTAATAGCCGCCTGTGGCTTGTGGCTACTGCATAGGGTGGGCAGATCTAGAAACTAGACACACTTGAAGGAGCTTATTTTTTAGAAGTATACTAATAAAAGGCTTAGGTTAGCTGAAAAACTGAGCAACCTCTGTGATGGTTCATAGAATCCTAGTGGGGAAAATGTTCAAACAGTTTGGTTCAAGATCTGAAGGAGGGGTATGGCCAGGTAGTCTGGGAAATAGTCTAAATGTTCAAATCTGTGCCAGAATTCACAGCTTCTGATTTTTAGTGGCCCCCAGCATGTAGGATACCTGCCAGGAAGCACTGTGTTAATAGAGCCTTGCTCCTTAAGGCACGGTCTGTGACCAACAGAGCGGTCATCGGTTAGAAGCATGTAGTAAATGCAGAATCGCTGGCTCAGTTCCCAAACGACTGAATCAGAATCTGCATTTTAAGTTCTTCAGTGAATCAAATGCACATGCAAGTGTGAGAAACAACTATTGTCAGGGAAAAGCTTTGGAGTTGGACAGATCTGGGTTCAAATCCCAATTCTGCCTACCTTGAGCAGTCCTGAGCCTCAATTTTCTCACCTGAAAAAGGAGGTACTACTACCTATTGCAGAAGGTTACTGTGGAGATCCAAGAGTCAGTGTATGAGAAGAAACTAGCATGAGGTCTGGTTTATGTTGGCTAATCATTCATTCATTCAACGAATCATTACTGATTGCCTGTTGTATTCCAAAACACCCTTCCTGTCTTGTGTTTCAAACCCCCTCCAGGAAAAAAAAAAAAGAAAAAAAAACTCTGGGAAGAAGAATGTTTTGCTGAGAATAGGAAGTAAAGGAAATGTCTCTCTTCTGCAGTTTTAACACTGTAACCCGGACAGCAACCTTCCTCTGTAGTTACGGGATCTTTATAGTATCTCACCCATCAGAACCTTCCTCAGACTTTTAAGTAGAGATGGGGAGTGGGAATGGGAGAATAAGAGAAAGATGTGGGAATTAGACAAATAGGGAAGGTTTCTTATTGTTTTACCAACAAATAAAAGCATTGGAGCTGTCTTAAAAATTAAGCACAACTGTTAACCGCACAGATTTTCTTTTATTAGTTTCCCTGAAAAGCAGCAGCAGCGATTCTCACTGGAGGTCCCACTGGTAGGAAAGGGAATGCAAGGGGTGTTCTTTCTGCTCCCCAGGCAAAAGGGTTTCTCACCCAAGCCAGTAGGTGTTAATCTGCTTAAGCCTGCCTGAGTGGATCTGTTAGATTGCTGGCACATGGCCATTTAGGGGTTTTGTTTCCCAGACCACAGGAGCCCATTTTTCCAAGAGTTCCACTAGCTTTTTGTTTGATAACGTCTATTTCTAGCAGCATTTACTCCTTCAACAACAAATTCAATAGAACAAAAATTTACTGAACACCTACTATTTGGCAGACCCTCTGTTGGGGATACAGAGATGAATAAGGAACAGTCGCTATGCTCCAGGAGCACACACAAAAGTAACTTCTGCTGCATTCTCTCAGGTGATGGCTATTATCACCCGTCTTCCTACTGCTTGGGGACAAAAAGGAAAAATCTTCTGGCTTCCTTAGCTGCCCTCATAAATACCCACTGACCTCGCTGTGCTCTCCTGAGTCCCAGGGGCTTGAAGGGTTAATTACTTGCTTGCTGTGCCTGGTTCATTGTTCTCCCAAACTTCCCACCCCCCTCCAATTCCAATTCCCCATTGTAAAATGTGTTTAATATATTTTAATAATGTTTTCACAAGGTTCACAAGGCAGTACACATTCATTATAGAAAAATACAGGCAAGCAAAATAAAGCAAAAATTTTAAACCATACTCGATCCTACCACCTAGAGATCACTTGTTTTAATAAAAAAGGATCCTTTTTAAAAATTACCATAGTAATATAATATCAGAGGAAGTGCAAAATATAGAGGAGGGCAGTTACATATAACTCAATCATCCGGCAAGTGATTATTTGGAGGATTTTGCCTTCCAGTCTTCTTGCAGTTGTTATAAATTATTATAAATGGTACCTAACAGATAGCCCTGCAAAAATCATTATCTTTTTGTATATGATGTACATATGCAAACAAGGAAGGGAGTACTTTTAACTATACTGGTGAATAAGGACATCTATGATTTTATTTTAAAAATATGTTTATAAGTTTGCTGTAATTAGTTAAATTACTGCGAATCAAACATTTCATCCCTGGAGACAGAATCTGACCCAGGAAACATGTCTTTCTTCCTGGGAATCTGAAATGGGACCTATACAAATTTCTACTTTAAGGCAGTCGGATATAAGAATACCTGAATTCGTGATGAAGAGTGCTGGAATATCATGAAAAGCTTACCCCGTGCCAGGCTCTATGGCAGAGAGTTAATCCTGAAAACAGTCCTGCAAGATAGATATTATCCCTGTTACACAGATGATGGAAAAGGAAGGCTCATAAAGTCCGAGAGGCTTGCCCGAGAGCTTGCAGCAAGTATGCGGCAGGACTAGGACCCAGAGCGAAGAGACATTAGGGTAGACAGGGCGGAAAGCAGGAGCCGGAGCAGGGCTCAGAGCCCCGCTGGGCCACCCACTCGCCAGGGAACCTTGGGCAAGTCGTGTCACATTCCAAGTTTCCCTGAACTGGACTTCTGTCTGCTACCACCAGCCTGAAATTAGTGCTGACAGGAGGGACAGTCCCAAGCATCCAGATGTGGAGTCCGCCGTAAGGGCACTGCTGAGGACCTGCTAAACAGTTGAGGTGCCTCCTTAGGAAGGCAGCTGAGAGGAATTACTGTTGGGTTTTAATTCCAAGACAGTGTACTCCTGAGCGATTTGTTAACTATCTTATGCTCCTGACTTGTCAAGTTTCCCCTGTAGCATTGACTCCTGGAAAACTCTGAACCATATTTACTGACCTCCTATAGGAAGAACTTGGGCCTTTAGGGTACGCACGTTTTTGGGTATGCATGTTTTGCCTCATTCCTGATTATACCTTTTGCTCCAATTTTGTTTTAATTTCTTCTTTCACTTCCACTTTCATATTAATTTCTTGAATTTTCTGGATTCCTATGCACTCCCTGAAATTTTTTTAGATGTAACCCTCATCTGTGAACTAGGGATAATATTTCTCTTAAGAGTATCTGTAAAGCACTTAGCACAGTGCCTGGCCCATATTAGGCGCTCAGTAAATGGTGTCGCCTTTCAGAATCTTTGTCACTTGATTTTAAAAAGGAGGACATTATTTGCATTCCAAGACTCCAGTTTACAAACGGACTCAATACAGAGCTCTTGTAATAATCAGCATATGTATTTAAAGTAGGATTCCATTTTCACCTACCTTTAAGCGTGTTCCTCACTGAGTCTTTGTCACATACCTGGCACAGGGCCGATCCACCAGCTCTTTGCTTTCTCCTGTTCCTTGTCAATGCAGCTAGTCATGTGTTATTTGCAACGTCCTTGGGATGGAAAGGACTGAATCTCTCAAATGAAAACCTTTATCTTCCCAGAGGGATTTTAAGATAGAAGTAGTCTGCTGCAGAAAATACAGAATTGGAGAACCAAGTTTTCTTTTACTTCCATCTTAAAAATAGACTCCCTTAACCAATTCTTCAGTTTTCCATGTGTCTGTCACAGATGTTGAATCCCATTCCCTCTACCTTCTAAAACAGATGTAATTATTTCCATTATACCAACATCTAAAACTTACCAGAAATTAAGTCAAAGAGTTGTCATGCTATTAGTGATTTCTTAAATTCCCATTTTAAAAATTCTAACCATCTCTTAAAATTCTTAAGCATTTTTATGAATTTTTATGAAGGTTTTAAATTTTCTCAGTTTCTTTTCCCAGTCCCTAGCACTTCCAAGGTATCCAATTAAAAAGTAAATTAATGGCATTAATAACATGTATGGAATAGGTCACCGTTAAGGTCACTGTCTAATAATCTTCAAAAAGACCTGGGCAGGCAGAGCCCAATAATCTACTTAAGTTTGCTTAAAGCAATTTGTTGGATCCTTAACACCTGTTGAGTTGATTGTTGAGAAGTTTTTTTTTTTGCCATGCCTGTCTGAGCTACATTGCCCCGACTTTCTTTCGTCCTCTGTCTTTCCCCTCCTCCATCTCATTCTTCCTATCTTTCTTTTCCCTTTTCTTCCTTTTAAATGTTGTATTTAAAGTCTGTGGCCACCAGGCTCTGTGCTAATAAGCATCAGGGATCCGACTGTGGTAGGCACCATGAAGGAATATAGTGCAACATCGGATCTGACTTAGTCTGGGGTTAGGAAACAGCTTCTCTGCCTTGAGATATGAAGAATGAGTGGGTATTAAGGGAAGAGTGAGGGTTCCAGGCAGCAGAAAGAGCATGTGCAAAGGCCCTGGGGTGCTGGGAATCATGGTGCTCTGGAAGAAGTGAAAGATACTGTGGCTGGATCAGATGGAACCAAGGCAGGGATGGGGGTTGCTTCTGGTGGAGTCAGTGAGGACACAGATACATGCTCTGTGAAGAGTTTGGCTTTCAGCTTCAGAGCAATGGGAAGCCTTGAAAGTGTTCTTGGGAAGAAAGAGGGTACAAGAACTGTGTCAGGGACGGATGCATCTTCACTTGTGCCTGCAGGACCGATGCAGTCATACACGTGGTCTCTAACGTACACGGTGACAACAGCGGCCGGGTCCCCAGCTGAAAACTCCCAGCAGCTGCCCTGTATGAGGAATTCTCACGTGCCTTCGTCCTCTGTCACACACAGGATACCAGTTTACCACCACAGAGAGGAGCACGGGTAGGTGGCTGTCCTGGGACATTGGCTTACTTCTCGATTTGATTTTAAAGAGTATGGTTTACTTAGTGGCTGTTTTCTTAAAGGACAGGAAGCGCCACCCTTTGCTGAGTGGCTCAGCACGGTGTCTAAGCATGGCATGCAGTCCCCACAACCACCGGGTGAGGCAGAGGATAGTGACCATGTTTTACACATGAGGAAACTGAACTTGATTATTTAAGTCCAGTCCCCCAGGTCACACAGCTTGTGAATGTGGGGCCGAGACTGAGCATCTGTCTGCCTCCAAAGCCTGTTCTTCCCTCTTTACTCCTTTCCTCTCAGCACTGCCTCTTAGTGGCCCTTTGTGCTCTTTGTGGCCGTGTGAAGCTCCATAGTAGGTCTGGGTTTGTATGACTGGCTTAGAGGAGGGCTTCCCCACCTGAGGGCTGGACGTCCCCGGGGGACGGCAGGTACAACGTGGCTCAGTATCCCTGGGGGGTCCGGTGGTGCTTTGGGCTTTGAATAAATAAATCATTCATTTTGTTCATATTTTTTTCCAAATCGATGTAGTACTGTTGCTGCAGTGAGTAACTACAAGTCCATTTGAAAATGTTACCTGAATCATAGTAGCTTTTTGCCATCATGCAATGTCTTTATCAAAAGGCACTGATTGTACAATGTCTAACATACAGTGATCTGATAAACACTTGTGACGTTAAAAAGGGCCCTTATCTCCGAGAAGAGGAGACTTTGCCATGTGGGTGCAGCGAGCCCCACAAACCAGATGTCCACACACCACGGAGGACCTGGGAGGAGGAGGAGGACCCCTTGGGTCCCCTGCACACGCTGGCCTGGCGTGGGCAGCAAGAGGACCCCTCTGAGGGCGGGTGCCGGCCTGGCTGCTGGTATCCTTGCATTTTTAGGTCCAGGTGACCCGAGCAGTCAGGCGGGCAGCTGCAATTTTCTCTGGGCACCTCTTAGAGTGTTTTCTCATACATTTAGAGTAGACTTTGAAAATTATTTCAGAAAGCTTTTGGATTCTGCAGGAATGGCAGAACAGACACCCACACGGTCATGTGTCAGCATGTTTCTTGTAAAGATCTTATTAAGAGGAACAGTGATAAAAATTTCCAGTGATTCCATAGGACTTTCTATTTGATAGAGTCTCTTTACATATATGACCCCCAGAATAACCACGTGCAGCATTTCTACAAATGTGAGAAACAAGACTGCCAGCAGTTCGAGGCCCCACAGCTGGAGAGTGGTGGAACCCCAGTCTCTGATGCCTGGCTGACCCAGCCGTGGCGTTTTCTCCCGCAAACATATGACATCCTTCCCCACACTAGGGAAGCAGAGACCTGAACAATACAAACACATAAATCCCAAAGTAATTTCTTCTTTTTCCCCTACCTGCCTTCAGGCTGTACTGTGAGGCTTCTTAGCAGGAGTAGAGGTTCGCAGCCCTAATTAGGTTTTGCTCCGAGCTGGCTTTCACCCCCTGAGCCCTCACCGGGCGGCAGGGGAGGCGTGCTGCGGGGAGAAGGGAATCAGCCTGGGAGTTTAAACCCAGACTGGAGAGGGCAAAAATGAAAAAGAAGAAAAATCCTCTCCAAAAAAAAAAAAGAAAGAAAAGAATGACAAAAAGGGAAAAAGATAGATGAGGTTGATTTCTAAAGGTGTCACACCGGTCTGTTCTCCTTGCTGTCACTCACCACTGGTCCCCACGGCCGCTGCGTTTCAGATACCCAGGAAGCTACGACTACGGGAGCTATGGCACCCAGCACCCTCCGGCCATGCAGAGCCAGTACCCGGGCCTCCCCCACGACACGGCCGTCTCTGGGCCGCTCCACTACGCCCCTTACCACAGGGGCTCTGCACAGGTGAGTGGTGGGCCTGCCTGCTTGTGGGGCTTGCACACCCAGTGCCAGGTCTTGTCACTGTAACGTGATTAATTAGCGCCTCTGTATACTGTGTGTGTGGCCTGTGTGTCACCAAGGAGAGGATGGTCTTGCCCTGCAGTGGCTGCCCACAGTGGGTGCTCCAGCCGTGTGCGTGTTCCACTCTCTCTTGTGTCTTTAGTTCTGCCCTCTCTTTGGCCTCTCTAATGCCAGGACCCAATCAACTACAATGTCTGGGGCCCTTTACTGGGCAGCCATGCTCACACTGGCGCTTTTTGTCTCCTTTCCATCACGATCTCCCAGGTGTAGACCCTCATCAAGTCCTGTCAGGACTATTGACATCATTCTGTCTCTTGGTCTCATGTCTGCTCCTTTGCAGTCCCACCTACACACATAATCTTACCAGAGGAATCCTCCTGAGACAGACCCTTTATCAGATCATCCTCAGGCCACACATTCCCCTTGGCCTTTCACTATCTAACCAGCCAAACTGACCCTCTGTGGCCTGTGGTGAATGGGAATCATGGCTGCACCTGTAACACCAGCATCGGGTGTGCTGCTTGTCTTAGACACTTCCCCGTGCACTGGCCCCAAGCTCAGCTGGGCACCCATTCCAACCATGTCCACACCCTCAGGGTCTCTGCTCCCTGCTATCCTTGCCACAGCCTCAGGTCTTTAAACCTAGACGATGACAAAAGTCTTCCATTGGCCTCCGTGTCACTAAACGTGCCCCATTTCCCGTCCATCCCTGACACTGCAGCTGGAGGACTCTTTTAGGAAGAGTCCAGCTGGCCATAACACTCTCTGTCTTTTGCACGTCATCCCTTTCAGAGTCACGTCAGTTCCTGAGCATGTCTCTCAAGCCTCGTTACCGTCTGGCCTTGGCCTGCCTCTCTGGCCTCCCAAGCACACCCATCCCATCTTTGCTTCAGCTGTGCCAACCCATTTCCGGGCCCCTGAGCGGGCAATTCCCCTGTGTCTCCGCAGATATGGCTCCCTCAGGCTGGGATTCTCTTCCCCAGCATCTTCTGCTTGTTCAGGACATGTGTCTCATGGTCTTGGCATTTCCTGGCACTACCCCTTCCTTCCTCCATGACTTTGTCAGGTGCCACTCCTCAGACCCGCATAGCACCTGGGCTTCCCTCTGTCGGCACTGCTTCTCACACCCCGTCCCAGTCCCTGACACTCCTGACTTCCACAGACCCCCGAGCTCTGCTGGCAATAACGAAGTCTAACATGCCCAGCTCACAGGATGTGGTACCTATCAAAAAGAACAGCCAACTTTTACTGAACACTGGTCACGTGCCAGGCACTGTCCTGAGCACATTACCCTTTGTCCTGGTAACCCTTGCCAGAAAAGCAGTGAGAGAACTTGCCCGAGGATTTGAACCCAGGCAGTGTGACCCCATGCCCTTCTCTCTCTGCCACCTCTCATATTTCGGCATTCACTCAGTGTCTATTGAACAGATGAGTAAACAGGGAGAGGGGGGTGTGCACAAACAACAGCGTGGCGTGCCAGGCGTGCTCACTCATACTGCAGGTCGGGAGCCGGGGAGGGGGGCACCATGAGAGCTCTGCTAGGTAAGATGAGAGCTCTCCAGCACTCCAGAGGACCCGAGGGGCCCAGGAGAGGCAGGGAGCTGTTAGGAAGCACTTGCAGGAGTCCAGAGCAGAGATGGCAGGACCTGAGGGAGGGTGGAGGCTGCAATTACATCAGCTGGCAGCACACAGACTTGCCCTCAGGGAGAGCACCAAGGAGAATGTACCTGCAATACAAGGGCGTGCAGGGCAAACAGGTGTCTGTTTTGATTTCCATCTTCAGTACCAAGGGGAGCCTTGGTATAATCCCCAAGCAAGCCAAGGAGTTGATGCCACTAAGTCATCACCTGGGGCATTCATTAGAGGCCTCCAGCTGCGTCATGCAGAGACGCCAGCCCCTGAGGTGCTGCTCCTCTTGAGAGCAGAGGCAGCGCTCCTCACTGTGACCCGCGGAATGACTTACAGCTGCTACCGTAGACGGGCCACACTTAGCAGGGTCTCAGCAGCTCATTCATTCCTTCCTACAGTCCTCACGTGATTGTTGGGGGCCCACTAGGTGGCCAGAACTGCTCTCTCCTCTGAGAATACAGTGGAGGATGAGAATGGGCTGTGGGCCTGCTTTGGGAGAGTCGTGCTCCAGTAGGGGACACTAGTGTAGTCAGCAGCAGTGGCCAGATGAAGCCGAAGCCCCAAACCACACCTTCTGGCCTGGCCTTCCTTCTTGCTTCACTCCCTCATCCCTCCTTGTGAAATTTCTGGAGCTGGTTTTTCTGGGGTGATATTTTTAAAGTCATTGCCATAAAAAGAAGCCAGGGTCTCCCAAAGGCCGTGTCCCTAGTGATCAGAGATAGGCCTGCAGTATCTGCTCTGGAAGCCACAAGGGTCCCTGACTAGAGCACCATCTATCATTTAATAGCTAGTCTTGGCTGGAGGGGTAAAGAACTAAATGAAAGCCCAGGAAGAGCCCTCTGAATTCAGACTAGGTGTGGGAGGCGACGGGTCCTTGGCCTGCCCCATCAGCACCATGCCCTGCGGCTCTTAGACAAGGACGTTGGACAACCTCTTACCCTGTCACACACTCCCACTGTATGGATGATGCCTCCATTTGTAAAGGGGAAGGGGGGGGGAGAGAAGTCAATATATTTTTTAGAGTTTAAATTATTTCTTTTTATTGAATTATAATTGACATGTTAGTTTCAGGTGTACAAGATAGTGATCTGTAATATTTTTATACATTACAAGATTGTCACTAAGACAGGTCTAGTTGCCATCTGTCACCATACAAAATTACAGTATTCAAGAGAAGTTGATTATATCACATCCCTACCCAGGTTGATGGGTGAGGTCAGCGCTTCTGGGAAGGTCATGTCCAAACGCAAGAATCCTTTGTTTTGTTTTTCATTAACAATTTTGCATCAAGCTCTGTCTTAGGCAATTTCAACTACACAGACTCACTCAATTTTCATACCAACCTCAAGAAGAAGGCATTTTTTCTCTACTTTTTAAAAGTGAGGGGACAGCCTCAGCAGGTCTTTTGCCGCAGGTCATGCATCCAGCGAGTGACAAAGCAAACTCAAGCAAATTCCCCAGCTCCAGCCCCACGGGGCAGCACTGAACACTATGCCAGTGTGTACTGTGGAGGGTGGGAGGTAAATTCAGAGGTTACTCCAAGAATTCTCTGAAGTCTCAAGGTACCAAAGAGAAGAGTCACACACCCAAGACACTTCCTTTCCCTTCCTGGCACTTCAGTTTAAGGTTGAGCAAATAGGGGAAAATCCGCTGCAGGGCTAATCAGTTTCAGCTTTCCAAAGCAGAGGGCCAGCTGTTCCAATCCTGAGTACTGAATATCTCACACTCACTGGAGGAAATATCAATCTGAATTGAAGAAAACCATAATTATAGAATATGGCTAAAGAATATAATTGGTCATTAGTACAAGAGTAACCAAAACTCATTTCTCCAAATAAATGCCTGTCAGGTTTGTCTGAAGGAGGCATACAGCACATCTGGGAATGCAGTAATCTCATGCATCCCAGCGTTTATATGCTTAAAATAATTTGAAGTCATTTGGTTTTTGAAAGAGGATGTGTGTGCCCTTGTTTATACTATTTACTTGCACAACATATGCCTTCTTCGTGGTGATACAAAGGTAAACCTCCAGCACTGCTTGAGTTCTCATAATTTCTGAAACTGTGGGTCCAGATGGGTGAGGTTTCACAGTGTAAGGTTTGAATTATTTCAGAGAAACAGCCTTTTTGAAACTCTGCTGCACTTGTTCACATCAAAGTAAGTGAACAAGGGTGGTGGCAGCTGCCCCTACCCAGGTCCCTATTCTCCTGCCTGCCCAAAAAGAGAAGACAAACCAGACCAAATACATGGCCACAGAATATTTCTGAGGCTCATCCAATACACATTTGTGGAACCTCTACCCTGTCAGCAGGTTTGCACTCAAAAGCCGTTTGATCAACCAGAAGTTGTGTGGCTAGAAATACACTTAGAGTGGACGAGAAGGCTGTTCTTTATTTCTCCTCTGTGTGACCCAGGCCAGCCTTGCCAGCCAGTCCCAAGCTCTCAGAGAATCCCCAGCAGCCCAGCCCAGGGCAGGGGTCCTTGATCCAGAGGCCCAGTGACTGCTATAGAATTTTCCCAGGCTGCTGCTCTTTATGATAGCATCCTGGGCCAACAGGAATAAAAGTCAGTCAGCCAGACTGGAGTAAGATCTCTGACTGAAAAGCCAGGTTCTTGGGTTCAATCCCAGCTCTGCCTCTGATGATCTCAATTGCCTCATCTGAAAAATGGGGATAGTTATAGTACCTAGCTCTTAGGGTTGTTGTTAACAAAGGTTAGAACAGGTCCTGGCTCATAGGTAACACTATTTGTATATATTGCCATTATTATCCTTTGTAACACCACAGTTATTGTATCTTGTGTCAAGAATTAATATGTGTCTCCTTCACAATCCTAGCTCTGTGATGGCAGGGACCAAATCCTTTTCTCCTGGTCATTCTATTCCCAGGACCCAGAACAGACTGGGTCCTTAGCAGGCCCTCAGTGAATACTTGTCAGTGAAATGAATGAATAGATGATAGATTCTTACTCTGGTGCTAATTTGTTGTGTGACTTTACGCAGATCATTTCCCCCCTCTTGACCCCAATCTGTAAAATGAGAGGTAGGACAAGATAGTCACCGTGGCTCTTCCTATTGTTCCTGGACCACGATCCCTTGATTGGAAGAAGAATATTAATAATAGCTAACAGGTTTTCAGATTTTACTACTCGGAGTTCTAAGTGTTTCTCATGTACTAACTCAATGCTGAGCTCAAAAGCAGATGTGGATGGTCTGGCAGGTATCTGGGGAGCCACGTCCTCTTCCAGAAGAGGCTAAAAAGAAGCTTGCCTGGGGCAGGCCCACTGGCAGCAGGTCGGTGTGGGGAGCACCGCCTCTCATAGGAAAACAGTTTGTGCTCCTGACTGGGCCACCTCTCACCCCTTGCTCAAGTAGCAGCCCACTTGTCAGGGTCTGGGATAAAGGGCTCATTCTTCCTCTCCATGTGCAGGAAAGTCAGCCCATGGTGTGAGGAGTCATTTCTCAAAATAGACTTGCTAACATGGTTCCACAGAGGCCCAAAGTCAATCCCAGCAGAGGTGGATTTGCACCGCGGCCACTTGATGGAACCTTTGACTCCTTATCCACACACGCAGACACACACACGTGTCCCACAAGCCCGCCTCACACACCTCTCTAAGGGTGGGAACTGATGACTCATCTCCATTTTAACATCAGTAGCAACAGCATGTGATTTGACCCAGAAAAGGGTAACTTCCTGTTATGGTCCCTCAACAAAGAGCGCCTTTATTCTGGGCCGAGCTCTCTGGACCCCAGGGTTGTGCCCAGCATGCTCAAGGACCCTGCATGAAACCGGATATGAAGTGTGAGAGGTGAGGCAGGGGCCACGGGCCAGCCCTGGTGCTCCCGCCGGGCTGAATAGAGGCTCCATTGGTGTTGATCGCCAGGCCAAGGCAGCCGGCACTTCAGCCTCTTCTCTGTCAATGGTCTCTTCACCACGGGGAAAGCGAGTCACTGACTCATTTGCAATTAGCTGACCTAACAGGACAGAATTTTCCATGCTGGATTCTGTGGTAACAGAATTTTATTGTCACATTGGAGATATTTTGAGCCAGTCTCATTTCCAGGCAATTACTCTTTTGAGTCTGTGACAACCTCTGGGCACAGCTGCAGCTAGGGTCCTTGATCAGGCACACAAGCCACACTCTGTTGGGTCCTGTGGGAAGGAGGCTCCAAGTCCACACTGTGACATTTTACCTACACGGGCCATGCAGAACCAGCAAGGCCTGGTCCTGATTACAAGGCCCTGTGGTCCGTAGGGGAAGAGGGATCTCAGAGCAAGACTGACAGATTAAAGTTGAATGGGCTGCATTCCAAAAAAGGAGCACCCTGCCCTCCTGTGTAATTCCGCTGCGGTAGGTCATGCCTCGTCGGCCAGTGAGATTGATGTGGCCCAAAGCAGCACCCCAGGACTGGGTTTTTATGTCAGCCCCTCCGCTAGCCTGTGCCATGACTTTGGGGGCACATTTCACCTGGTTTTCTCCTCTGCACGACATGGGGTGGGACTGTGTGAATCCGTAGGGTTCTTCTGAGTGCTTATTCTCATCCCGGTGCTTATTCTCCTCATAGTTACTTAGCACCTGCTAGGTGCCAGATATCATTCCAGATGTTGGGAATATGGTGGTGAACATGACAGAGCCCTACCTGGCACTTAGGGATATATAAACCGGTGGGAAGACCGCCGACAAGCAGGATGGTAAGATCCTGACCTGAGAGACGGAGGGTGGGGCATTTAGACTGAGATGGGATGTCCAGAAAGTCTCTGAGGAAGTAACATCTGAGCTGAAGTAAGCATGCAAAGGGCCTGGGGTTAGGGGTGGTAAAGGAGGGTTCGAGGCCGAGGGAACGGGCAGGACAAAATCCCGAGAGATGGGAACCAGCGTGGCATGCCTTAGGGCCAGAGAAGAGGCCTTTGTGTGAGGGAGCACACCGTGAGGCGAAGTGACACGCATCCGGGGAGCTCCCTTGAGAGAATATCAGCAAAACAACATCGAAGACTGTTTTGTAATAATATCTAATACTACCTGTTTAATACCTGGGTTCTTGTTTTTTCAAGCAGGTTCCAGTCTTACTATAAGAGAGACCCTATCTCTTTGGGATTTAGACTGGGTCCTGGCCTAGAATCCCACTTGCCCAGGCCTGAGGGTCCGCTATGGCTGCCATACAATCAGCATCCTGTAGATTCCCGTAACGGGTACCTGGGTGTACTTAAGCCTGTCTGATCCACTTCGGGGATATGAGAGCCATAATCTCCTCGGCAGCAGCCTTTGGGGCCTCTGCCTTGTATCCCTAGGCACTGCCTATGCCTGTCTCCCTCTTTCCTACCTGTTCATCAGACTGCAAAGGGGCCGCACTGTGCTGTGTAGGGCACGCTGCCCTTTCTAGGACAGACCCTCACTACGAGAAGCAGAGCCCTCTTCCTTCATGTATGAATAGCTGGTTCCCTTTGCAAGTTCCGGGCCTAACAGCCTTCCCTGGGCACCCACTCAAAGTGGCAGAGGGGCTCCCCTTGGCCCCCCTTGGATACCAAGAGCAACCATTTTTGTCATGACCTCTTCTCCCGGCTGTCTAGGCTTCAGCCTGTCTGTCTCCACCACAGGAGGCAGCCTCCCACCTAATCCCTTGGGGCTCCACTCTCCAACTGTCAGGGAAGACAGATGGGGAGCAGAAGAATTCATACATTCACACACACTCCCTCTCCAGCCCTTGCCATCCTTGTTGCCTGGCTCCCGTCCTTTCCCTGAGCACAGCCAGGAGATCTTTGTGCAGAGTGGCCTGCAAACGAGAAGCCCCACCTTCCTCCCCTTCAATTGTACCAAAAGGGGTTTATCTGCATAGCTGTCTTGGAAACAGAAAAGAATGTAAAAGAAGCAGCACTTCACTTTTTCCTAATTCTTTTTGGAACTGCTTCCCTCTTCCTGTAGCTACTAACACCTGTTTTGGCCCTCACAAAAGCATCTCCCTCCTCCCCCCGAATTTACTCGACTCCTTCCCCCACATTCACACCAAGCCCCATAATTTACCATTTTCTATTTGTGTGTCTTACAGGACTTCAGAGAATATGAATCAGAAAGATGTTCTCTAAATGACAGACATTAATAATAACCTTTGACGCTGTTGACTGGCTTCCTCTTTAAAAGCCTGCTTTTAGGCTGCAGTTCATGATTGGGTTCAACTGTAAAATGCTATTTTTAATAATGTCACTGTGTTTTATTTAACAGTATTATTCTCTTGGGTTGATAGAGTGAGACCTATCACATCTCCATAACTACTGATAAAACAACCATCCACCCATCCATCCATCCTCATCTATTTGGCCTATGCTGTTACACCCACACACTGACACACTCACACGCTTCTGTAGTCCCAGTGGGGGGCTATTCTTTCTCGTGGGTTTGACTTCCCAAGACATTCCAGATTAAGAGCACAAAGTCAGTAGTACTGTAGCACTGACTTTGCACTTCTATTGGTTACCTCCTAGACCAATGTTCATTCTTTCAGAAGTTCATTGATTCTGTCCCATCAACTTTAACAGCATCTTCAGAAATTTAACTTAAAACAAACTGTGATCTTGTGTATATGCAACTCCAAGCTAACTTTAACTTTATGGAATTTTCTTTCCCCTCCACAAGTATCCTTTCAATAACCCCACAACCCGGATGGAACCCTGTCTGATGAGCAGTACTCCAAGACTGCATCCTACCCCAGTCACCCCCCGATGGCCAGAGATGCCCACAGCCAACGCGTGCTACACAAGCCCATCTGTGCATTCCACGAGATACGGAAACGCCAGTGACATGTACACACCCCTGACGACACGCAGGAATTCCGATTACGAGCACATGCAACACTTTCCTGGCTTTGCTTACATCAATGGAGAGGCCTCCACAGGATGGGCTAAATGACTGTTATTGTAGGAATCCATATTTAATATTAATAATAATTATTAATAATAATAATAACCCCCAAACCACCCCCCAGAAGACTTTATCTCTATACATCATAGCTCATGGACTATTCCTAGGCGTCCGCTTTCCTAATGAATGTGAGGCTGGGATTCAGCGTCGGGAGAATAAACTTCTGTTCCAAAACAGGACTCACTAAGTCACTGAGATTGGGTTCCTGTAGCCAAGCCAGATTTTACTGTTTCTATAGAGCACTATTTCGGGCAGGCCAATCTGTGCCTTTTCCCTCTGTTCCATGACTTTGCTTTGTGTTGGCAAACACCCCGGTAAGCTACTTATTTTCCTGTTGACAAAAGCTCTTTAGTCTTGAAGGATGGATACTGGAGACGGAGTTGGGTTTGTGTTCTTGGATGGGCACATACTTTGCCAAGAGCACTCACCCTGCCATCAGTCTGCCACCTTGCTGTACAACAAACAGCCCTCAGGTATGTTTCAAGAGTCCCTTCTTCCTACTGGTGTAGTCATCACTGCTCCCTGGAGCACCAGGGCTAAATGGAGGTGTCTGGAAACTCTAGATTCCCTGTTGCCCTCACATCTATCACAGTACTTGGATTGTCTTTGAATGTAAGCACTGCCTAGAGGGAAGGAAGAGGCCTGTTCTGTATGCCTTAAGTTGGTTGGGGTTTGTAGGGGACTGGTTCTTCTACAGACAAGTATTTGTCCTAAGTTTGCACAATAGCTAGAGTCAGCAAAAGGTAGGAAAGGGGTTTTTAAAGTTCTGTGAGGCTGTGGATTTATGGCACTGAATATCACACTCAGCTCAGTTGCATTAACTCTGAAACTGGATGGACCAAACATTTACTTACCAAGCACCAAGTGTGAAACGGCTTTCATGGTTCCTTCATAAGACTATAATACTTTCCGACACTTTGATAGAAAAAAAAATATTCAAAGCTGTGCCTTTGAGCCTATACTATACTGTGTATGTGTGGAAATAAAAATGTATTGTACTTCTGGAAAATTTTTTCGTAGGCATTTTTCTGTCAGGTTTGTAGCAATTTGTGAGGTTTGTTAGAGATTAACATAGGTTTTCTTTCTGTATTATAAAATGCACCAAGCAATTATGGTGGGCCTATTACCCTATGGGTAAGAAATAAGTGGAAGTGTGACATCGGATGTTTAGCAACTGTTCTGTAAATAAAATCTTTGATCACACAGTTCAGTGTGATAATCATGTCTACAGCTAAAATGGAAATAGTTTTATCTGTACAGTTGTGCAAGATATGGTTTCACACTCAAATAAATAAAAAGTATTGAAATGACCTGCTTTCTTCATTCTCATTTTGCATTTGCTGTGACCTCTGTGTGTATGTGTGTGATATAATTGACAGTCTGAACACTTAGGGTATAAACAGGCAAAACAAATGAAGTGGTCTTATATGGTTGTGCTTATCCAGTTCCCCCATTCTCTTGTCATAAAACAATCCTTAAAATTCAGATAGGTCACACATCCAGTCCCTGAGTAATGATTTAGCATCTACGGCCTGGCTGAGGTTTGTAGGGGCCAGTTCAATATACAAGGATTTGTCTTAACTTTGCACTGTGGCTAGTGTCAGCAAAGGGCATGGGCCTTTCAGCTCTTATGGGCAATGTTATTCTTCAATGCCAGCATCATTAAGAGGTCCCCTGGTACTTAGTTTCAGTGATCATTGGGTGTAAAGATATTTCAAGTGCAGTGCTTCAAATACTAATAAACTTCTGGAAAAGTACAGTAACATTACTGAATACTTAGTATCAACAAATTCTTCTCCAGCACTACATTTTGAATTCTAGGACTGAGAAATGAGGATATAGAGGCAAAATGATTGCTTTGTCCAACATTAAAAGTGTAGGATCTATGACACAAATTCAAAGCCACAAATTTCCAGAAATGGCAGCAGTGACTATCTTAACTAAAAAGCATGAGAATTTGACAACTCAATTTGCATTTTGGAAGATTTATTTTTAAAGCCAAGCTCTTCCTTGCTATTGCATAACCTATTTAAACCTAAAAATGAGTTTCAGATTAAAATTACATATTTTACATATCACCCCTTAAAAATATTTAGCTATGATATCCTACAAAAAGAAAGCTGATGTTGGATTTCACTCTCTGGAGGTGAATTAGTTTGATCTCTCGGCCACAATCCATTTGTTGACATTATACAAGAAAAACAGGAGCGTGAAGGAATGAAATTTCACATTTAGCCGCTATATAAAATAAACCTGAGGATAACAAGCTGCTGCTCTTTTACAATTCATAGGTAGTGCTCCACAAACAAAATGGTATAGTAAGTCTGCTTGACTAAGCACAAAAGTTTGAGCAATCGTCAGGTTCTCTAGCCAGGTGCAGCAACTCTTAATAAAAAACACCCACATGCAGGTAACCACCACAGGCTCATTAAATGCAGATCTTTAGGCAGGAACAGTCACAACCAACAGGGGCCCGAATCCCAGAGGTTAGAGTGGTCACTCCGAGAACTTTGCAGGGGAGCGAATGTGTGCCTCCTGCTCACCGCATGGCCAGGAACCAGGAGCCGTCAGCACTGCAGGAAGAAGGCAGCTTTCAACGCCGGTAAGCGGTTGCAGGGCGCTCTCTCCACAGCACGGGGTGCTCTCTCCACAGCACGAGGCACCCATCTCTTGGGAGCTGAGTGTACTGCCTATGTTCCCAATTGTTCTAAAACTTCAACCTCAGAACCGAGTAGGATCTGATTAGGAAAAGACAACAGCTGCTGTGAGCTCCCGACTCAAATGCACCTTCCCTCCCTCTGATGGTTCCTAGCCAGTCACCAGAATGGGAATGGGCAAGGTTGGCAGTTGGGAGTGGGGCCAGTCACTTGTCAGAGGAAGAACAGAGGAGTCTTGGCAATAAAGGGACACCCCTCTTTAGGACGCTTTCTGAAAAGGACTCTGTCAGCTTGAAACTGGCTGAAGTCATGAACAGCAGCCAGGACGGCTCACCCACGTTGCAGGCCTGTGGCGTCCTAGGCATCCATCCTGCTGTGCCCCTTGTCGGGCCTCTGGTATACCCCAGGTCTGGAAAGAAAGGGAATCTGTGGCCCCTTGGAGACTGCAACCCAGTCACAGACCAATAAAAAATGTTAAGCCCAACTGAAATGGGGAGTGGGGCTAAAATTGTGCAAAGAGAACTGAAAGGGAGTCTTGGCTTCACCACCACATGGTCTTGGAGGGGGTCACCCCCCAACTCTGGACCTCAAGTGGGATGGTGTATGACTATGACATCCCAAATTGTAGTCTGTGTACTGATGGACCAGAGCTGGCAGTTCTGGGTTAGGAGGGTGGACAGCTTAGGGAAAACAAAGAACAGACTGGCAGCTGGGCAGTGATTCAGAGAAGCAGCCGCAGGAGAGCAGGCGATGGCTCCACCAGCTGGTGCTCAGGCTCAGAAACAGCCCGAGGCTCATGCCCATGAACTCAGTCCTTACACCTGCACCACCAGTGCCAAGTTTGTGCCAGCCCCTTCCTCAGGGCCACCCCACCTGCTCTGATACTTTGGGTAGTCGTCTGCTCTTTTCCACTCCCGCCACTTTTGTCCTTAATATTTGCTTTAAAGTGACATCAGTCAAAATGTCCAAAGTGAATCTGAGGAAAGAGTAAAAATGGGTTATTAGTCTCAACTTCTTGGACCTCTTAAATGTAGAATGGCACGATTTTTTGACAAGTTAAATCCTGGGAAGAGGATAGTATAAATACTCTATTACCGGGGAAAGGACGTGGGGAGGGGTTGCTGTAAGTATCGGAGGAATTAGCGTTCAGACTCAGTCGGGAGCCTGAAGTATGCGAATTACCATCAGTGGAAGCTTAAAAGACAAGGATGGATATACTTACTGGCTTCAAAGTAAGGTAGACCTGAGATGAAATCTTGGTTCCATCAAAGATGTTGTAAAGGGGACATTCCGACTCTACGTAGGATTGGACTTGGCTTCCCAGTTAGAATTACCCTGTCAACTTTTTAAAAAAACTGATGTATCGGTCCCACCCACAGTAAGTGACTGGCCTGGCATGTGCCCCTGGCATCGGTAGTTTTTAGTGATACTCACAGGGAGCCGAGGCTGGAGACACAGCCCCTCCTTCTGCCTTGAAGTTCTGAGACCCAGGGACTGCTGTTTCCTGAATATGCACCCCAAGTTTCCTTTTTACAGGGTTTCAGTCTGTCCAGAGTGGATTAGAGTGGCCCTTCCCAATAATTGATGCCATTTATAGTTTCCCCGCGGCCGACCATCCTCTCCCTGACTGCACTGCTGTGTTGCCCTTCAGCCTGGCCCACCTCCCTGCCACTTCGCTTCCTGCCCTCCTAACCTGGGCCTCCTCTGCTTCAGCTCCTTGGCAGCCTCCCAAGCTAAGCCAGCTTGGATACGGCCCCTGTGGCTTCCTCTTCTCCCAAGGAGGTCAGAACCTTTTGTGCTTCACCAGCCTCCTCTCTGAAGGTCTCCCACGTCCTCCTCCAGCACCGCACCCCCCCCATGCCTTCTCACCCCCATATTTTGCTGCTGCTGGTGTAGGTGGAACGGAAGATGTGGGTCCCAAAAGTTGAGAAAAGAGCTGTTGCTAGGAAAGGAGTGTGGGTGAAGAGAGGTGGTGGGCGGGAGAAATAGGGCTCCCCAGTTTTATTCCTTCCTTTGTCATCATAAATGCCTCAAGAGCTAAAACCAGTTATTTAAGACCTATTATGAAAAATAGTGAGGTCTGACCGAGACAGCAGAGGTGAGAGCATCGGGAACAGCTGCGGCGCTGGAAGTTGGTTTTTATACGAGTCTCCTGCTAGGAGGGAAAAGCCACGGAGAGAAGCTTAGAAGAGAGCATTCTCCAGGAACTGCCAAGCTGTGCCCCCAGCGGGGGTGGTACCCAAAATGTCCCCGCTACACCTCTCAGATATGATTAACTGCAAGAACTGAAATGCAGTCACCGCAGAAGGATGATCTTTAAGTGAGGAGCCGGCAACATGCTTTCCTCCCTTTACACAGTGATAATGTGGCACCTTTCTGAAATGCATCTGCCTTAATTTACAGAGGCTCCCGCTCCTCAGGGTCCGCTCTATGCCAGGCACATCAGATGCATCATCTCTGCTTCACAACCTCCTTGCAATGGCAGCGGTATCGTCACTTCTGTTTACAGAAGAAACGGAGGTGCTGAGCAGTTCAGTGCCCTGCCCAGAGTCACCCAGGGAAGTGGCAGAGCTGGGATTTGAACACAGAAGAGCCCTGCTCCAGAGCCAGTGCTCTCTCTACCGTAGCACACTCCCTTCTTCCTCCTCCCGGCTTTCATTTCCACCCCACCCTGCCCCCATGCCTCTCACCCAAGCTGCTTGGCAGTGTTTAAATTACCCCTGGCCGTGGTACCAGAACCTACCGGGGTTGATGAGCATTTCAGAATTTCTGGGGAATTTTTGTGTGCTTGAAATGAAGGCAGTGTCTAAGCTGGGCACCAGATCTTTTCCCCTCACCCGGGGTGGCATTCCACTCCCCATAAGTTAACAGTCAACTAGCTTTCCCTCTGTCATTTCCCAGGGTATGGACACACCAATACATTATCAGGGACCAAGATTTGGTCATTCTTTACAGAAACAGGAACAAAAGGAAATCAATAATAATATAAAAAAATATCAGGTCACAGGAGGATTTTTATTACCAGGTTGAAAAAAAAGCTCTGCAGGGGAGGTACAGCGAGCCAAGTATTCACAAGAATGAAGTCATTGGAGGGGGAAGTGGGGTGGGGGGGGGACTGGCTACCTCTTGCTGTTCAGGTCACTACCCTTTGACAGCAGTGGCCTCTGACCTCAACAACCCTACAATTCTGTTTTAACTGACCCTGAAACGCATGAAATTCAGATGGAGGCACTGCCCAAAAGTTGAGATAAAGCTGACTAATATGGGAAAAGCTCCCGGTATGTGCCCCCAGCTGAAAACGGCTGGCAGTTCTTTGGCGGTAGCTGCAATTTATTCTGTCCTCCGCCTTTCAGGGAAATGCTAATCCTCCATAGGCAGCACCAGGGGAAGACTAAAGTGTGTTGGTGATGAATGACAATAATCCTTTGTCCATTGCCACCTCCTCCTAGGGTTGAATTTAAGAGTTTAATCAAATGTTGGTAAGTAAATTAATACTTCACTGTAGAAAGAGTTAAAAAAAAAAAAGAAGGAAGTGGTGGGAAGGAGTGTTATGAGACTGTATTTCCTCTAATATGACTCTGAAAACCTTGATTGCAAAGACACTGATGTGGTGTGTGTATTGTTTTAGACTCCCTTTCACACATATGCATATATGACAGCCACTGTCCCAAAAAAACATCTTATGTTAAAGCATGTCAGTGTTGAAGATGCTAACTTTGAGTTTTAAAGCCCAAAGCAGGGTGTTGTCATTACTTTTCTGTTGTGAAAAACGCCACCGGCAACCTCAAAACGCTTGCATTTGTGCATCAAGATGAATAACATGACCTTTGTCCCTCAAATCTTCACAACATCATTGTGAGGGAGGTTGCATTTTTCATTCCAGTTCAGCTACCACTTGAGTGGCTACTCCATGCCCGGTGGGTCGCTGTGCTGGCCACTTCGACAGCCGTCTTTTTTAACCCTTGTAACATCCTGCCAAGTAGGTAGTATTGTGTTCATCACAGCTGAGAACATCAATGCACAACAAAGGCAAGTGGCTTATCTCTGAACATCCCGAGAACATCCTGAGACAAAGTTAAAATTCAAATTGGAGCCTTTTGGTTGTCAAGTTTTCCTGTTAGATACAAAAACTGGTTCCCAGAAGGGTTTTACGGAATTTGACAAATGATCGTCTTCTGAATTTCACGCAGTGAGTCAGGACTAAAAACCAGGTTTTCCAATTCCCAGTCCAGCTTCTTTTACCACATTACAACATTGCCACCCAGAGCGCTGGGTTTTCCCAGGAGGTGTTTGGATGGGATTCCAAGCCAGTAAGATGCAAATAGGTCTGACCCACATTCCAGCTCTTGGATAAACAAAAACTCATAACGGAGCAAAGCCCGTTTTGTGTGCTTAATTTGAGAGTCCCAGTGTGGCTAGCCAATCAATATTAAACTATAGGTACATGTGCCAAGGACTAACAGCATGGGCTTAATTTTAGCAATTAAAATACTGAGAATATGACTGAGGAACCTAATAAAGGTGCTGAAAGGCTGGATCAGTAATGATACATTTTTAAGAGCTTTTTTTTAAAAAGTTTTGAAGTCATCTAGTCCAACTCTAGTTTTATAAGCAAAATCCTGAGAAATTAAAATTGTATGTTCACAGATCTGACACGAACCCTCTCCTGCCTCCCGGTTCTGTTTGTGTCATATGGCATTATAAGATACTGTTTTCAGGAATGCCACATGCTGTAAGCTGAAGTTGGATTGGCTGGTTATAGAGTCATCATCAATTATGAAATGTCTTCAGATTTAACTTTACCTTATCTCACTGACCAGCTGACCTCTAAGAAATCTCTGTTGTTGGCTTTCAAATTTCAACCAAGTCAGTATCATTTCTCAATAGTTGGCTGGTTCATTCTTGGGTTCCGAACTTTTCTCATGGTTTTACCCCTATCTGCTAGCCCTCTAAGTTCTCCCCACTATTCTTTTTTTACAGTTCACCTTCTCTAAGAGCCTTCTCTGAGCACTTTTCTTCCCATCAATGTTTGCCTTGCTTTGTTTTACACAGTACTTCCCTTCAGTTCTTTCCTTCCTATCAGTAGAAAAGTTTCGTTTATTGTCTGGATGTTTCTTATATTCCCCAAAGGACACGTTTGTTTCTGCTTGTTTTTATTTTTTATGGTGCCTAAGCCTATGTTGTGCCCAATAAGCACCAAATGTTTGTTAAAGGAGCAAACCATGTTAATTAACTTTGCTACCAAAGAGAGACTTCATTTTGGGGAGAAAATGAAATTAAAATAACCTTCATCTTGCTAGGTTATTCTGATTTCTCAAAGACTAGTCACATGTACATAAGTTTGGTAGTCCACCAAAAACTCATTCAATGGTTGATACCCTATCAAAATATTGGTCCAGTGGTTCTCAACACTGGCTTCTCATTTGAACCAACTGGGAAGCTTTTAAAACTACTGATACCCAGGACTCACCACAGATCAACTGGATCAGAATCCCTACAGGCATGCCCAAGCAGTGATTTTCCTATATCATACTGGTATTTAATTTGCACATATTGATTTGTACCTCACTCTTATTAATAGATTTTTCTAAAGAATGAACATGTTCAAATATGTTTTTGCTGTTGACCTTAGAATCACAAAATTTTAGAAGAGAGAGAGAACTCAGATATCTGGATTAATCCATTTATAGCTGAAGACACTGGTTTAAGAGAGATTGAAAGAGTAGCCTCATATAGTACCTGGTGACTGTTGTGTGATAGGTCATATCTTGAATTAGTGGGATTCTCTGAACTCAAATTCTGGAGCTGTAGTGACTAGACCAAGCTGTTTAGTTTTTAAATGTCTGTTTTCTTCTAAAGAAAATGTGTAAAAAATTATTACATGTGGAAAACTTGGATTTTAAAGGCTGTTAGCATGAGCTACTCTACTCCTTAAAAACCTTCAATTTAGCACATTGTGACTAGTCCATTGTAATGGCAGAGGAAATGCCACTGTCAGGATATATCAAAGTCCAAAATGAATGACGAGTATCTATTTGCAGGCTTTTTCACCGGCCCTGACCTGTAAGTCCATAATATTTTATGCTATCAGAGCCCAGAACACTTCGAGCCCTTAACTACGCTACTTCTAAGCAGATTTATTGCTTCTGAGCCAGCTATTCAACACCCTGAACTTCCCTTTTCTCTATGAAAAGGAAGATAGTGCCTGTCTACTGACCTTGCATTTTTCAGCTATTATAAGAATCAGATGATCTATGTGGAGATATTTTGAGAATAAAGTACTATCCATGTATATAATTAATTATTACTATCTTTCAGAGCAATGACTTACAAACACATACTGTTGCTTTGATTATCCAGGCCCTAAATCCTAATTTCTTGGTATTATGCCACACAAGAATCGACAGGAACTGGAGTTAGTTTTGGACTAAGGACTCTAGTCACTGAAAGTATCACATAACTAAATACTCAGGGAGGTAACGTGACGTAGTGGCCCAGGATTTAGCTGGTCCAGGCTCTAGTCCCAGAGTCTGCTTTCAATTATTGACTTTGGACAAGTCACTTAATTTTTCTGGGACCAGAGTCTCGTCAGTGGTCAAAGGATGACTTGAATTTTAGAGTCAAAGATCCTTTTGATTTATAAAATCAGAATATTAGTGCTTAAGTAAAATTGCTGAAGTGCAATTTCCCAAGCCATTAATTCATGTGGTTGCACGTTTTCAAATCTCTTTTTAGAAGTACAGGGTTGGAGCCTAAAAACATAAGCCTATTTTTGGTAAATAGACATTTCAAACACATGTGTAAGACCCTCTTTAAAAGAAACATCTCTACTCAGATACTTTGTTAATAACCTGGAGCCCTTGCTCCAAAAATAAATTACCCCAATATCAGGTAATACGGTACTGTACACAGAGTAAGGACCCAAATACTATTACACTACAGCTCTCAGTTTAAGTCTTAGTTCGTGTTGCTTAACTCATCTGAGCCTGTTTTCTTACCTATAAATGGGAACAATACCTTCCTTAATGATCCATTGAGATAGTATATATTAAAATGTTTTACAAACTATTAAAAACGATTGCAAGATATTAATATTACCTAAGAATTGTAGCATACTATATACCATGACCTTTCTATGAAGTGCTTTTTCAAGAGATAGATTGAGATCTTTCTGACTTGGTTTGTTACGGACACAGCATCTATTCCAAAGCTTGGCTCAACAAATATGCTCAATAAATGCCTGATGCATGAAAAGTATAATCCACAGGAAGACCAAAACCTCCATGAGCTCAGATTCCGTATTTGTTTTTATCTCCAGATTCCCAGAGCCTGGCACACTATCTGACACATAGAAGAAAATTAGTAATTATTAGGTGAATAAATTTTTGTCCTCTCCAGTTCCTCTTCAGCACAGCTCAAGAGATAGAGGCAGGCAGGGGAGGCAACAAAGATTATTTCTGGTAAAGGTTGTTTGCAATGGAAAGTTGGAAATTACCTGGAGAATTCATCCACTGTCTAACAAATGGCTCTAGCAAAAAGAGCATAGGCTCTGAGTTCAAACTCAGCTTTCAAATTCTGCAACCTTGGTATTTGTTAACCTCTCTAGGCCTCAGTTTCCTCCTCTTAAAATAAGAACAGTACCTTCCTGGGTTAAACACTAGAATGGAAACTCCATAAGGGCAGGGTCTTTATTTGGGGCCCACTGTTTCTACCCTGAACAGTACTTTACTGAACAGTGCCTGGCATAGCGTAGGTTCTCAAATATTTGTTGGCTGATCTGTGAGAAGTTGGCTGAGATAATGCAGGTAAAGTATGTAACAGATTGCATGCATGTAGTAAACACTTAGCAAATGCAAGCCTTTGTCGTCATCACCATCACAAGTATTGCTGGTATATCAGTTATCATTACAGCTGGCAATTGTAAAGCAGTCCCTTTCGCGAAAAACCCGAGTTTGAAACAAATATCGAATTCCCCGTTTACTGGCCACGTGACTTAGGACAAATTACTTAACCTATTGGGGTTCCCTTGGTTCCACTAAACTCTGTCATGACAAAACTAGAGGCCATACGACAACTACCTACACGGAGCCTGGAACCCCGGCAGCATGTGATACCGACAGCGATTATCATTAAGGCAAAAAACCCTCTGAATCCCCTTTTATTCAGGCAACTGCCTGCAATTTCCCACGTTACTGCAGCTGAATGTATACCATGACCGCAAACAAGGGAGGGAGGAAAGAAACCCAGAGACCGAAACCGCTAAACAAGAAAAGGGAATTAAACCGGTACTTGACAGTGTCCACCATGGGGTACCAGTTCCCCTGATTGACAGTTGGACGGTCAACTAGTCCAACCACTCAAGGCTGGAGCTGAGTAAGTCGCTCCGTAAGGAACAAATCTGAGGCACGCTTAGACCGTCCACCTAACGGTCTCCTGGCCGCTGGCCTCAGGCGGCCGCCAGGGTCCCGTTTCCGGCGTTCACAGGACCACAGTTCCCAGCATGCCTTTGGCAGGAAGTCTTCCCAGTGGATGACTACTAGTTCCAGCATGCTATTCGGCACTCCAGTAAATCAAATGGAAGCGTGGAATGACCCCGTTGTACGCAGGGAATTGTAGTCAGCTCAGCCGCTGGCTCTAAGAGGGGCGGGGAAGAGCCGGGTGGCTCTCGTCAGCTGAGGAGAATGATTCATAGAGGCGGATCAGGAGAGAACATCTCTGTCTGTGAAAGCCCACTTAAAAGACTGTACTTTCCTCCGAGGGAGGGAGAGGCAAGGAGCAAGCAGGACCTCAAGGCTGACCCCGCTTCAGGCCGCTCGCCAGGCCTCAAGTATTGGGCCTTGTGGGGGCGGCAGCGAGGCGCTGGTTGCTGGGGGACCGGTGACGTACGGGGTGAAAGTTGAGAGGCGGTGACGTCGGGCCTGCCCGGGCGGAGGCTGGCGGGTTGGAGGCAGGAGGGAGGGAAGGAGGGAAGGAAGGAAGCTGGGAAGGAGCGAGCAAGCGGGGGCGCGAGGCGTTTACCTGGAGGCAGCCGCTGTGCGCGCGGAGCGGCCCCGGCTCCCCCGCACCTGCGGCCATGGATGAGGAGCGCGCCCTCTATATCGTCCGGGCCGGCGAGGCGGGGGCTATCGAGCGGGTCCTGAGGGATTACAGCGATAAGGTAAAGAGCTCTGGCCCCGAGCGTGTGGTATGGCACCCCCGGGCCGCCCTCCGGCTTGTACATCGCATCCCTCCCAACCCCCCTCATTCGGGGGATGCGCATTACTCTCCCTGCGAAGACGTTTCCGGCTTGGGCATGCGTGTTTGTGCCCCCAGCCTTTCCCGTCTGTGCATCTGCATCCCCCTGCCCCCACTCGAGCGCCCACTCCTCTGATTTCGGTCCAGCAGCCTGTCCTAAAGTCCTCCTCCCAAGCTTGTAAGTCACACCTCCAGAATCTGTAGATGTGCGTCTGTGCCCCTGTGCCCCACTCTGGGATGCATAAATGCATGCGAGGCTTCCTCACCTGTACAGCCCAAGACTACGTGTTTCTGTCCATGAACATAGCCCTTGACATGCATAAAACATAGGAGCCACGATGGCAGTTCTTTATATACCTATAGCACTGAACAAGGTTTCAAGGCATGATGTCTCATATATGGCCTAACTTGATTCCCAAAGTGTTTACGGGGTAGTTAGATGGTATCATCCTCCCCATTTTATAGATGAGAAAATCGAGGTGTTAAGAACTGAAATCAAGCCAAGGTCATGGACATATTATGTTGTAAGTGAAGGAAGACTCTAAATACCTATTGTATCGCTTTATCTCATTTAATCTGGATAGCAATCTTGTGAGGTTTTATCTGCATTTTGCAATTGAGATTCTAGGTCGGTTAAGTAATTTACCCAAGGTCAGATTTGTGAGCTGGGATTCCAACGTAGGTCTTCAAACCATTCATTGTTCTTTTCACAACCCTGCGGTAAAAGGGTATCTTGTTATAAATCACAGGCACTTCTCTGGATGTCTCTCCAAGAAGGTGTTAGCTCTGTGTAACTTTTCCTTCCAGGAATTTTACATGCTCACTTCAGAAGGCAGGGTACTGCACCTTTTTTCTTCCAATTAGAAGACTGCTTTTATAGGAATGAATGACCACTCTCTTCTGTGAAAACACACCCAACCCAAGTCACAACCTTGATATCTTTCTTCCTTTCCTTTGCTCCCATTCATAATTTACCCTTCCGTGTTTGCTATGTGCCCACCACTACACTTTCATAGACTGATATTGAGCTGCCAGTATGCCATTTCTGCCCTAGGTCAAAAAGATCCAAAACTAAGATGCCATCATTCCCATTTAATCTTCCCAATAATCCTGTGAGGGAAGTGGTGGTATTCCCCATTTCACAAACGATAAGATTTAGGATAATGTTGCCCCAAGTTCACACAGTCATTGAGAGTTGGGCTGAGATTTGGATCTAGGTTGTCTGCTCTTTTTAAAGTACTTTGCTGCTTTCTTTGGGAGGATGTATAGATTGAGTTCTATTCATATCTTCACTCCTTCACTTCTTGCTATGCTTTACTGTTGTGTTTCTGCCTAATTTAGAAGAAATGCATTTAATGCATAGGTGTACATATTGTGGGGATTACAGTCATTTAACATGATTTATAACTGCTTTCCAAAGAAAGATTTGAGGCATCTACAAACATTTTCAAAAGGAAAAAATACAACAGCAAACTTGGCCATTATGTTAAATCAGCTTGATTAGGCTTTAGCCTAATCTGACTAAATGTCAGATATCCAGCAATAAATAGGAACTTTCTTCTCTAGGAAAGGGAGGAGGAAAAACCTTCAGCTGGACCTTATTACCTCTTTCAATATTTCTCCTTCCCTTCATGGCTAAACTAATTAGAACTCAAGATTTGCTTCCTCCCATCTATCTCTTCCTCTCCTTGATCTCCCTTTAGGTTGATTTCCACTTACCACTCCTGGCCAAGTGCTGTCAGAGCTTAAGTTCTGGACATCTCCAACTCTCCTTTCACGTTGGAAATGTTTTTGAAGTTGTAATAACCGATGTGTATTATTTAAATTGGTATTCTTGAAGTATTTTTTGGCCAAGCCTAAGAATGCTCTGACTTGATGCAAACTGCATCATCCAGCTCCTTCAGAAAAGAGCCCCCAGGTTTAATGCTGATTATAGTATGGCCAGAGTGTAAATAACGTAACTGAGTTTCATATTGGCAGTGGGGCTTTGCCCCTTGAGGTGAGAGACTTTGTAGGCAGATAGGGAAAGTGTGACAGTGGAGGTCCAGCAGTAAGAATGGGAAGGTGGAATTAAATTGCCCGGCTCTATTGGATATGGAGGCTGAAACGCTGAAAAAGCAACTGAACACCGTGTGTTTCGTTTTCTTTATCTGGAAAAATAGATTTGAGAAAATAAGTTTAGAATAAAAGGTTTATGGGGCATTGAGAAATCTAACCAAGAAGGGAAATAAATGATGTAGAGAGAATGATTGGTTCATTGTTTGTGGCAAGAGATTCTTTATGCTGTCTAATATAGCCAGACTTCGAAAGGAGACAGTCAAGTAGAGTGGAAAGAAGGTAGAATTTGGAGTCAGATGAACCTTGGCTCTTATCTGCCATTTATTAGTTTCACAACTATTGATAGGTTATTTTAAGCCTAAGTCTCAGTTTTCTTATCTGTAAAATAGGGATAATACCACCTAAGTTATTATTAGGCTTGTATTAACTGAAGTGTAAACACTCAGTATACAGTGAAGTATACATGAGTAAACAAGTATGCAGACCTGAGCACAGTGCACCTAGAAGGCGTTCGCTCAGTGAGTTAGAGTTCTGATGATCCACGTACTCAAGAGGTGCTGTGGCCAGATCACAGGCTCCAGAGCCAGACTGCCTGGGCCCTGATCCTCACTTACCAGCCATGTGGCCTAGGACAGGTCACTTAATTTTGCTGTGCTCAGCTTACGCATCTGTCCGAAGGGATAACAACAGTAGGTTCATCATAGGTTTGTTATCAGGATTAAATGAGTTACATGTGTAAAACAGCGCCTGGCCCTGAGGAAGAATCCATAACTATTAGTTTTGAACAGAAAAAAGGCAGGAATTAAACGTGTAGCACTGAGTTGACGTGGCCCAGTAAACTTGGGGAGATTTGCCCTTCTTTGTTTTTCCTTAGCCCTTGCACTTTCTGATGGGTAGCAAAATGCCTTGTACCAAGTTTAGAGCAACAGTTAGCTGTTTGGCTGCAGGTAGCATCTAATTTTTACTGTGTTACAGAAACACTGATGCCCAAACCTTCTTGCTTCATTCATTGACCTTTGTTGTCTTGGAGAGGGAAGATCTATCTATCCCAGAAAAAAGGAAACTTGTCTGTTTCTCAAGGGCATGATACAAATTCACTCAGCATAGGAAAATACTTTTTTTTAAAAAAAGGAAAAGAAGAATGGTGGTGGTTATTCACTCCTCTCAATACGGCTGTTAACATTTATTGGGTGCCTACTGTGTACTGTGTGTTATCCTAAGCACTTTCACATTTGTCACATATAATCCCTTAATATAAACTTGTAAGTTTATATTAAAACCTATGAAGGAAATGGAAGTTTCTTTCTTTTTGGGGGTGGTAGGAAATTGAGGTTCAGTGAAGTGACTACCTGCAGGCTCAAGGGGATATAGCTAGTCTTCACATTCCATATCCAGAGCTCTTTTTGCAAGGCCGTAACGTCTGCCTCTCATGTGTTTCCTCTGTCTGTTCTGGTTTTCTGCACATAGAAGAGAAAAGTTTTTCAGGACAAGTACACTACTGTGGCTACTGTCGGACCCTAATCACCTCCATTCCAGTAATGGAATGAGCTATTAATTACGGGAAGTATGTATTGTTGTAGTGTAAGCTGTCTGAGCTCCTTCTTCTCCTTCAGAGTCTGCTCTGAGAACAGATTTAGTAGAAAAATTTGTTGTCATCACTATGAGTATCAATAAGTTAACAGTGATCAAGGGCCCCGAGTTGCACAGTGGTATCTTAGTTCCTGAATCACAGGATATTTAGACTTAGAGGAACCCCAAATATAACTGGGTTCAACTCTCTCAGTTAAGTGAAGAAACCGAGGTCTAGAGTCATCAACTATGATTATAACCAGAGAGATGGCTTGGTGACCATAGAGGCCACCTGGGCATATGATTACCCCATAGAAAACTCCAGCAGGATCCCATTTTGGAAGTATGGCAAATTTATGGCCAGATGAGAGGTTAAAAGTTATTTAAGATACAGGCAGGTAGGTCTCCAAGGGTAGTCCTCATAGGAGAGGAAAACCACACTGATAGTAAATGAACCACACTTCATTTATGTGCTAGAAGAACCTGATTGATAAGAACCTAATCATCACAGTTACATAAATACAGTGCCACATTCAAATAGAGTATATATGTCCTGGACCATGTAAGAGGACTTCATGCTTCAATTTTGAGTTGAGTTCTTACTCTCAGTTCATTCCACAGATTTTTGCAGAGGAGCTTGTTTAGTGGGATGTTCCTGTTACACCTTGTTCTTATTTCTAGCTTGGATTATATAATCTCAGCTACTGGCATTTCTCGAAGTAATCTCTATTTGTGTTGTCTAAAACAGAACACACACACACACACCCACACACACACACACACATGCACGCTCACCCCACCCCATTAGGTTAGTTACCTTGTATTGGTACTGTCTGAGTGTATCTTTGGAAACCCATGAAGTAACTCCTAGTTCTCCAGTAGTTCAGTATTTGGCCAGATCCATATCCTAGGCCATGCAATAACAATAGTAGCCACTTATTGAACACCTGCTATGTGTAAGGTGCTGTATATAAAAATAAGGAAACTCTGACAAGTAGTAATCATGAGTAACTTGACTAGGGTCACACTTTCAGTAAGAAGACTTCAGACAGCGCCGTGTGACTCCTGAGGCTGAGCTCTCAGGGCCTGTTCTTGGGGAGTCCTCACGAGTCTGCTGTGTCACGTAGCTGTTCTAGCTTACTTGGTATCTAAATTGAACGGTGGTTTTACTCTTTATTTTACATTTGACTTTTTGCTCCTATTTGTCAGGAAATCATCTATAAATAAGGTGAGGTAGTTGCCTGTTGGTTAGAGTTCTAGAAAGGCATTTATAAGCCAGAAGTGTTAGTTCCCCTTCTGCTCCCTTTCAGCCTTAGCAAGGGGAAAGAATAAGGGTTAGAGGCACTAAATAGGTCAGGTCCGATCTAATTTAGATAAAAAAAAGTCCACCTTAACATCTTTGGATCCAAGCAATCTTGGAGGGCTAAACTTCTGAATAGATTGGCACATTCAAAATTAAATTTGTGGTACCTCACGTACTAGTGTATTTTCTAATTCAATTAAGCCCTCCTGATAGGGCTTTTGAAAGCTTTTTTTCTTTATTTTTTTTTTTAACTGTGGTTTAATATTAGACAGGATCAACCTTGCATTTAAGAACAACAGAAAAATTAGTCCTTGGTACTAAATTATCACCTTGAAGATTAATTCTATGTAGTAACTATTTAAAAGATACTTTTGTAACTTAATGAGGGTCTTCCCAAAAGATTTCTTTTACTTTTCCCTTATAAATGCCAAAAAAAAGTTCTAGAGAACCATTATATTGGCAAGTAAATTTATTCCTGATAATTTATGGAACTACTATTTCACATATAGTGGCAAAAAATAAGTTTTCTTGATTTCTTAGTACAATTATTTATTTTTATTCATATTGGACCTTTACTAAGCTTCAGTTTACAACCTTAGCCTGATATCTGCTGCTGCTTTATCTTTTTTTTTTTAATTTTTTATTTATTAAGGTATCATGGATATACACTCCTCTGTCCTGAGGTCTGCTCTTTTCTCCAAGTGAATGCAGTCTGGCGCACCCTTCTCTCCTGTTGCTCCTTTAGGATTAGTTGTATGAACTGTATTTTCATATTACATGTGGTTTTGGAGGAGTTGTCTGTCTCACTTCTCACGCCGCCGTCTTTACTCTCTCCTCACTTTTTATCTTTTATCTAATACTAGTTTTTACTAAACCTCAGGTCTATAAATTCCAAAGATATAGCCTTCAGATTGATAGCTTGCTCCTTCTTCCTTTTTTTCTTTCCTTGTTCATTCATTCATTCATCTTTCATTTTTAAAATTCCCATTTTAATATAAAAAATAATTGTACCAGCAATGAGTTTTACCAAAGAAATCAACAGAAATTCTACCACTTCTGAACAGTTGCTTTTATTTTTTCATTTTAACACTCAAGCCTTTGTTTGAATGCATCCATATATTTGTGTAGATCCTGTCATTGTAGACATAATTTGATGGTCTACTGTATTTCCACTTGATGCCATCATAAGTGATTTTCTGTGTTGTTACAGAACTCTTAGCTATCTTCTACATTGCCACATACCGCTCTGTCAGGTGGATGCACAGCAGCTTATTTCACAGTTGTCGAATATTCAGGTTGTCTGTTTCTTCCATGATATTAGATAGCACTGGAGTGAATATGCTTACATACATAATTTTTCTTTCCTTCTGGATGATTTCATAGGATAAATTTCTAGGAGTAGAAGTCCTGGGTCAAAGGTTATAAATATTTTTATGGTTTCTAATACGTGTTAACAAATCACTTCCCCCTTTAAAGTTTGTGTCAACTTACATTGCTGCTACAGTACTGCACCTGGATTGTTGATGCCCATTTCTCAGAGTCTGTATGTCCTCAGTCTTGCTCTCCTTTGATCTGGCCTGTAAGTCAGTGCCCAAAATATTCTTCCAGAATGCTCTGTTGTTCACACCTCCCTCAGAGTAGTCCTCTGGTTGCCTGTCACCTATTTGCCACCTCAGGTAGAAATTTTAAAATCCAAACCCTTACCACCCGCTGCCATCCATTTTAATTGTTTTGTAACCACATGTGAGGCAGTCTCTCTCAGGGTTTCCTCAGCTGACCCTTTTCACTGACCTCTAAGTCTTTCCTCTGACCATTTCTTACATTCAGATGTGCTTCTCTGTCAGCATTTCTCCATCTCATTTAATTTCAAAATTGCTTCTTCTACAAAGCTGACAGTGCAGAACCACCTGTAATGATGTTATCTTTAGTACGGACTTAGTGTACTTAACTCCTGGTGGGTTGCCAGTCCATGTTTGTCAGTGTGGCCAATGAGAGAAATTCAAAGGAAAGGCTGAGATGTACAGCGGAGATTTTTTTTTAAAGGAAAGCTTAAGATTCATAAGAGTGCTCCGTTCTCCTGAATAAAACTTGAGAGGAAAATGAGGAATTCTGTGCTCTGTTTTTTGGGTGTCATCACTCTTCCTGTGACAGTGGGCACGTCAACTTACTTCATCCTTTATTTCTGCTACAGAGTGGAAAATATGTTGTTGCCAACCATTTCAGAAGAATCACGACACACTCTTTCCTCAATATCATTGGCATCATTATCATTATGACACTAATATTTACTGAGTCTTTTAAATGTGCCAGGCACTGAGATGGTGTGTTATATGCCTTAGCTCTTTTAACCCTTATAGTGGCTCTTTGAATTAGTACCCCCTCTTTTCACATGAGAAATTGAGTTACAGTTTCTACTTCCTCAACTAGTAAGCAGTGGAGCCATGATTTAAACCCTCATACTTACAGAATTACTTTGCTGAAATACCAAGCTCTCAAATCTCTAACCTATTTGTAATTATTTGATAATTTCTTATTGCATGTGAGAAAGAAAGTAAAACTCCTCAGCAACATTGGAAGACCCTTCCAAATCTCTGTCCAATGTGCTTTTCCATTCTCATGGTTCCCCACTCCCCATCCCTGAACGTGTGTCCTCTTTCATTCTGACAGAGCCACTTATTTCACGAATATATAGTATCATCCATTTCACAAATCTGAGCCTTTGTTTCTGTCCTGAGAATGTTTTCCATTTGCCTCCTTGCAAACTCCTATTCATCCCACAAGGTCCTGCTCGGATGTTTCGTACTCCATGCAAAGCATTCCTTATTTCTCCAGGCAGTTAGTGGCTTGGTAGTCTTGCTCCTTTGTATATATTTCTGCTGTAGTCTTTTCACACTGCTTTATAATTGTTTGCTTACATGCCTATTACTCTTTAAGAAGAATAGTAAGATACAATATGGGAAGGCAACATTTTTACAGAGGCATTATGTTTTTAGACATAGCCAAAATTTAAAATCTGTGTATTTAAAATGACATTGTTTCCCTTTTTTTCCCCCTCAGCATAGGGCTACTTTCAAATTTGAATCAACAGATGAAGATAAGAGAAAGGTAAGCCTGGTGTCACTGTGTGTGTTTGTGTGTTTCATCCATGGACTTTCTAAACAGCAGACTTGTTTTCATCTGATGGTAGTTTAGTTTTTGGTTTCTATTCAGTTTGTTTTTTAGGAACTCTAAGAAGAAAGACAACTGCCAGGTTTAGTTTGGATTACACACAGCTCCTTCTTGCTCCATCCCCCAGGCCCATTAACACTTCATAAATCAGAGGAATAGGAAGGGTTACAGTGGACACTATCCTCATATCTTATCATCTCCAGAGAGTCACTTCAGTTGGTGGCGGGACTGCAGCTGCCTGAAATTCATTGCTAACATCGTAAAGCTTGGCTTTGGGTTAAGCTTCAGGGAAGCAGCTGCTCATGCTGCTGCCCCTCAACCACATATAGTTCCCTGTACCGGCCGTTACCTATGTTATCAGAATTGTCTTCATAACTGATTTTACAGGTAAAGAGGTAAATGAAGTCAAGAGTCTCATTAGTAGAGGAGCTATTATAAGAAAGGGTGCATCAGAGATATGACCATGTTTACCTTTTGGGGTTGCCCACTGTTGCTTTACTTTGTTGATTAGAGCATGATGCCAAAGGAGAAACTCACTAATTCTACCTGAGTATTTTTCTGGTAGTGGTTTGGTAATACCTTGAAACCATCCTGTATTCACCTCCATCCCCACATCTAATGTCTACATACTGCCCATTTTACCTCTTAAGGTTTCTTCAGTCCATTCTCTCCTTAACCCCTGCCCTAATTCAAGCCTTCATCCGGGTCACTACACCAGTTTCCTAACTGTTCTTTCTTTTTCCACTTGTGTGCCCTTTCAGTCCATTGTCCCGAAACAACAATCTGATCATGTCCCTCTCAGCCCTAGAACTCTTGAGTGACTTTCTTTGCCTGTACAATAAAGTTTAAGTTTCTTAGCATATCATTGTAGGTGGGCAGTGATCTGATCTCTGCCTACTTTTGCAGGCTATTGCTTACTCTCTTTCTTACATTTTATACTCTAGCAGTATGAATGTTTCCAGTTACATACACACACACATCCCTCTGTTTCTTTCTACCCTTGTATATGTTGTTTTCTACCTAGAATGCCCTCTCTTGTTTCCCTCTTCTCCTTTCCACCTGGGTAATTCCTGCTCAGTTCCAGGAGCATTCCTTCAGGAAGCATCCCCTGGCATGACTGCTAGGGTGAAGTAACCCTCTTCATTATTCCCATAAAATTCTATGTAAATCTCGAACACTATGCTTATACGTTATCTCTTTATTATATGTCTATGTCTCTCACTTACAGACCCTGCAGTGTCCCTGATGACAGTGTTTTTCAACTTTATCCTTGACATCTAGAGTGCCCAGCACATATGGGCACTCAAAAAGTATTTATTGAATAAATGACCTGAAGTATAAACTTTGGAGGTTAAAGATTTAACTGATTTTCTTTTGGATATGAACAGTGCAAATAATAGAATACCTTTTAGAACACGGGTTCTCACCCAAGACGGTGTTGTTTGGGGAGCTTTTTCAAAATAGGCCTGCTCAGGCCCAACCCCTCACCTCTAAGTCAGAATTTGGCAGGGTGGGATCCAGGCATATGTATTTTTGTAAATGGTCTTTAGGAACTCACATGTTTATTTGGTGGGAATGCAAAATGGCACAATCCCTGTAAAACAGAAACTGGCAGTATCTACTGAAATTACAGATGCATTTTGTATTTTGACCAAGAAATGTCACTTTTAGAAACCTACTCTGTGGATTGATTAAACCCAAGTAAACAAAATTATTCATTGAAGCATTGTACAAAGTAACAAAAGATTGGAAACAACCACGTGTCCAGCAGTTAGGGAGTATTTGAAGAAATTAAGGTACATCTACATAATGGGATACTAAGAGTAGTAAAAAGAGAGGGAATGGGGAAGGAGAGAGACAGACCATTATGTACTAACAGGAGAGAGAGTTAAGTGAAAAGAAAGCAAGGCATTAAAAAGAATATATATTCTTAGATACTCATGATAGGTGAGGAAGGCAACTGCCATTTTTTGTTGAGAGAATGCATACTACATACTACATCCATAGAGTCATGGTGCCTCGGGAATGTAACACTGGAATCTTTTGTAGTGCTTTTACTGGTCAAAATAAGTACATTAACACAGATTCTCCAACTCCATCTAAGTTTCAGTTGCAGAGAAAGTTTTTTCCACAGTTATTAATAAAGCATGTGTATTTCCTGTAGGACAGTAGCAACCTAACATTTTGACAGTATTGTCTTTCAGATCTTTGGAGACAGTTATTGCTGTACTAGTGTTATTTTCAATGATAGTGTGTAGATTTCTGTTTGCTGGAAGGTCTGAATAAAAACAAATGTCAATAGGGACCTAGCTAGGTAATCTTCATTAATGGAAAAACATTGACAAACAAAACCATTTAATCTCCAGGGGTTAAAACCTTAGTGACTCTTTCATACCTAAAGCCCTAATAAGACCTTAAAGTTAAAACCATTGAAACTGCTCTGAAGGATCTACATCCTGAGAGCTTTTTAAGTTCTCAGTGTAGAGAGACAGAATAGTAAGCATGTCTCAATATTAAACCCAGTCGTAAAATAAGAGGAACTCAGATTACCATTCAATTTGTTTTGCTGCCCAACTTCTCTTTTTCTCCTTCCTAAGCATATCTGTGGAGTCTTCTGTCAGCGGCTTCTGGCAATAGTAGCACCCCTTTCGATACACTACAGGTGCTCTCTCTGAAAAACATATCTTTCTTACTTAAAACCTACATACAGCTTTGAAGTAAATGTAAGGAAGTAAAGCCTTTCAAAATGTAAAACTTGATTATACTGAGCTTTCTAGGATATGATTGTAAATTAATGATCATTAGACCTAGTTCCTAACACTTAGTGTTTTGCATTTTTAAGGTTTTCTTTGCAACAGTGATGCAGTAATACTGTAAGTACGGCCAGAATATTACCATCCCTGTTTTATAGATAATAAAACTGAGGCTCATTTTTGGTTTCTATTCAGTTTGTTTTTTAGGAACTCTAAGAAGAAAGACAACTGCCAGGTTTAGTTTGGATTACACACAGCTCCTTCTTGCTCCATCCCCCAGGCCCATTAACACTTCATAAATCAGAGGGATAGGAAGGGTTACAGTGGACACTATCCTCATATCTTATCATCTCCAGAGAGTCACTTCAGTTGGTGGCGGGACTGCAGCTGCCTGAAATTCATTGCTAACATCGTAAAGCTTGGCTTTGGGTTAAGCTTCAGGGAAGCAGCTGCTCATGCTGCTGCCCCTCAACCACATATAGTTCCCTGTACCGGCCGTTACCTATGTTATCAGAATTGTCTTCATAACTGATTTTACAGGTAAAGAGGTAAATGAAGTCAAGAGTCTCATTAGTAGAGGAGCTATTATAAGAAAGGGTGCATCAGAGATATGACCATGTTTACCTTTTGGGGTTGCCCACTGTTGCTTTACTTTGTTGATTAGAGCATGATGCCAAAGGAGAAACTCACTAATTCTACCTGAGTATTTTTCTGGTAGTGGTTTGGTAATACCTTGAAACCATCCTGTATTCACCTCCATCCCCACATCTAATGTCTACATACTGCCCATTTTACCTCTTAAGGTTTCTTCAGTCCATTCTCTCCTTAACTCCTGCCCTAATTCAAGCCTTCATCTGGGTCACTACACCAGTTTCCTAACTGTTCTTTCTTTTTCCACTTGTGTGCCCTTTCAGTCCATTGTCCCGAAACAACAATCTGATCATGTCCCTCTCAGCCCTAGAACTCTTGAGTGACTTTCTTTGCCTGTACAATAAAGTTTAAGTTTCTTAGCATATCATTGTAGGTGGGCAGTGATCTGATCTCTGCCTACTTTTGCAGGCTATTGCTTACTCTCTTTCTTACATTTTACACTCTAGCAGTATGAATGTTTCCAGTTACATACACACACACATCCCTCTGTTTCTTTCTACCTTTGTATATGTTGTTTTCTACCTAGAATGCCCTCTCTTGTTTCCCTCTTCTCCTTTCCACCTGGGTAATTCCTGCTCAGTTCCAGGAGCATTCCTTCAGGAAGCATCCCCTGGCATGACTGCTAGGGTGAAGTAACCCTCTTCATTATTCCCATAAAATTCTATGTAAATCTCGAACACTATGCTTATACGTTATCTCTTTATTATATGTCTATGTCTCTCACTTACAGACCCTGCAATCTCCCTGATGACAGTGTTTTTCATCTTTATCCTCGACATCTAGAGTGCCCAGCACATAATGGGCACTCAAAAAGTATTTATTGAATAAATGACCTGAAGTATAAACTTTGGAGGTTAAAGATTTAACTGATTTTCTTTTGGATATGAACAGTGCAAATAATAGAATACCTTTTAGAACACGGGTTCTCACCCAAGACGGTGTTGTTTGGGGAGCTTTTTCAAAATAGGCCTGCTCAGGCCCAACCCCTCACCTCTAAGTCAGAATTTGGCAGGGTGGGATCCAGGCATATGTATTTTTGTAAATGGTCTTTAGGAACTCACATGTTTATTTGGTGGGAATGCAAAATGGCACAATCCCTGTAAAACAGAAACTGGCAGTATCTACTGAAATTACAGATGCATTTTGTATTTTGACCAAGAAATGTCACTTTTAGAAATCTACTCTGTGGATTGATTAAACCCAAGTAAACAAAATTATTCATTGAAGCATTGTACAAAGTAGCAAAAGATTGGAAACAACCACGTGTCCAGCAGTTAGGGAGTATTTGAAGAAATTAAGGTACATCTACATAATGGGATACTAAGAGTAGTAAAAGAGAGGGAATGGGGAAGGAGAGAGACAGACCATTATGTACTAACAGGAGAGAGAGTTAAGTGAAAAGAAAGCAAGGCATTAAAAAGAATATATATTCTTAGATACTCATGATAGGTGAGGAAGGCAACTGCCATTTTTTGTTGAGAGAATGCATACTACATACTACATCCATAGAGTCATGGTGCCTCGGGAATGTAA